ATGAAAAACTGGGTTTCATTTATAATCATCAGGAAAATGCAAATCAAAACAATAATGAGATATCATCTCCCATCACAGAGACTGGCATACACCCAAAAGAACAGGAACAACCTGTACTGACGTGGATGCGGGAAGAAAGAGACTCATTTATTGTTGGTGGGAATGTTGACTGGTCCAGCTTATTTTGGAAAACAATAAGGAAAATCCTTAAAAAAACTTTGACCCAGCAATACCAGTTCTGGGAATATACCCTGGTGCGAAGGAGTGGGGAGCGTGGTCAAAAACACACAGCAAAAATGTAAAAATGTCATCTACACTTCTATGTTCATTGCAACACTATTCACAATAGTTAGAATCTGGAAACAATCCCAGTGTTGAGAGCAGATAACTGGATAAAGAAAACTATGGTAAATATAAATAATGGAATACTACACAGCTGTTAGGAAATCATGAAATTTTCTTACAAATGGATGGGCATTGAGAGTATCATGCTGAGTGAAATAAGTCAGGAGAGGGACATATGTAGAATGACTGCATTGTAGGATATAAAAATAGTATGAGACCAATATCCAAGGCAAGGAAAATTAGGGGCCAGGAGGACTGGTCAATGGTTGGAAGCTTGCCACAAGTGTGTGTGGAGCAAAGGGAAGCTTGGATAAAGAAGGGACCAGTATGACAGTAAGAGTTACAAGTGATCATTTTGGACAAGAAAGCGGGTGTTGAAAGAGATATACATGATAACCTTTCAGTATCTGTATTGCAAACTATAATACCTTAAATAAAAGAGAGAAGAGATAGAGAGAGAGAGAGAGAGAGAGAGAGAGAGAGAGAGAGAGAGAGAGAGAAGAGAAAAGTGCCTGCCACAGAGGCATTGTAGAGTGGGGGATGGGAGGTAAACTGGAGACATCAGTAGTGTGAAATGTAGAGTGCTGAAAATGCATGTTGTAACATTATATAACTAAAACCCAATAATGAACAACCTGTAACTTGTATCTCACTTTGATTCAATAGAAAGATTAAAAAATAAAAAAGAACAAGAACAACCAATGCCGGCATGGATGCAGGGACAAAGGGACTCTTGTGTGGTGGTACTGCCCAGGGGAGTGATGGTATATATCCAGTGTGGGTGTACAGTCCAGGATGATTGTACAATCTTATTTATTATTGGTGGGGATGCTAACTGGCCCAGACTTTTTGGAAAATAATATGGACATTCCTCAAAAAACTAGAAATTGAGCTTCCATACAACCCAACAATAGCACTTCTGAGAATATACCCCAGGGGCCCAAAAACTCACTCAGAAAAGCCATCTACATTTCTGTGTTCAGCAGCACTATACTCCTATAAACAACAGGCAGAATCTGGAAGAATACAGAGTGTATGAGAATATATGACTGCATAAAGAGACAATGGCAAATTTATATAATGAAATACTATGCAGTCACCAGAAAAATTAAGTAATGAAATTTGATTATAAATATATGGGCATAGAGAGTCTCATGATGAGTCAAATGAGTCAGAGAGGGACAGACATAGAATGACTGCACTTATTTGTGAGATATTAAAAAAGCATAGTATGAAACTAATACTCTAGGACAGTTTAAACAGGGGCCAGGAGGACTGGTCCACAGTTGAAATCTTGCTACTCGTGGTGGTGAAGGGGAGGGCAGTTAGAATAGAGAGAAGTCCACTTTGACAGTGATAGCTGGAAATGATTGCTCTAGACAAAAACTGAGTATTGAAAGTAGGTAAAGAGATAAACATGACAACGTTTTAGTACCTGTGTTGCAAACCATAATGTTCAAAAGGAGAGAGAGAGTATGACAGTAAGAGAGAGGGATAGAAAGAAGAAATGTGCCTGTCACAGAGGTAGACCTGGAGATTGGTAGCAGGAGGGAATCTGGAGACATTGGTGGTGGGAAATGTAAACTGGTAAAGGGAAGGGTGTTAGGACATTTTCTGACTGAAACCCAATTGTGAACAACCTTGTAACTATATCTCATGGTGATTTAATAAATAATAATTCCAAAGGTAGTCTAATATATTTTATTAAGGTAGTCAGATCTACTACATACTTGATAATGACTTAAATACCTTCTGGATACCTTCTGGATCTAAAAGAGGAGAGTGTGACTAGAATACTAGATTGGTACTCAAATCTAGATAATTAGAATAAGCTTAAATTTGTTTCCAAATTTGTTTGCAAACGGTCAAATGCTGCTGTTAGTTTATAATCAATTAATATTTCACTAAGTATCAGGGAAAAAATGTGGAGAGTAAATGAATAAGCACTTCTTTATGGAAGACCAATGGTTGGCGAACAGGAGAATAAATGTTCATCATCACTTATTATTAGGGAAGTCCAAATCAAGAGTATAATGAGATATCACAGTGGTAGGGCGTTTGCCTTGCACGCAGCCAACATGGCCGACCTGAGTTCGATTCCTCCACCCCTCTCGGAGAGCCCGGCAAGCTACCGAGAGTATCTCGCCTGCACGGCAGAGCCTGGCAATCTCCCCGTGACATATTTGATATGCCAAACACAGTAACAGCAAAGTCTCCAATGGAGATGTTACTGGGCCCACTCGAGCAAATCGATGATCAACAGGAGGGCCTTTACCTTTATCATCTTACACCAATGAGAATGGCATATACCAAAAATACTAGAACAATCTCAGATGGCAAGAAAGTGGTGAAAAAGGAGCTCTCATTCACTACTGGTGGTAATATTGTCTGGTCCAATGCCTATAGATAAACAGTATTGAGGGTACTCAGTAAACACAGAATTGAGTTCCTATGTGGCCAAGCAATTCTACTTTGGGGTATGTATCCCCAATACAGGAAATCATTCATTCAAAAGGACATGTGCACACCATAGTTCACTGCAGAACTCAGAACAATAGCTAAGATTTGGAACCAACTTAGATGTTCAACAACAGATAAGTGGATAAAGAAGATGTGGTATATATACACAATGGATGTGATAAATATATATATGTATATATATACACAGACACACAAGATGATATCACTTCTCTCTGGTATTTAGAATAACAGGAGGAGAAAATGGAATGTTTTAAAAGAGGGATGCCCAGGTCAACCTTGGACCCAGAGTATAGGAAGGAAAAGAAAGAGTGGTTGGGAACAGACAGATGAGAAGAAATGGGCCAGGTTAGGTGAGTCAGATACAAAGGTGGTGTTAAGGAGTGATATACTCAACAACACTGAAATCAAGACAACCAAACTTTAATAACTGAACTCAGAAAGATGCCTGTTATGAAGATATGCTGGGGGGGGGGGACAAGTATGGGAGGGAACCTGGGAATATAGATGGAAATAAGTTGATAATGGTGGTGGGATCGGTGCTGAAATATTGTATGTTTAAAACTCAACTATGTGGGGCTGGAGCAATAGCACAGCGGGTAGGGCGTTTGCCTTGCATGTGGCTGACCCGGGTTCAATTCCAGCATCCCATATAGTCCCCTGAACACCGCCAGGAGTAATTCCTGAGTGCAGAGCCAGGAGTAATCCCTATGCATTGCTGGGTGTGACCCAAAAAGCAATAAATAAATAAATAAATAAAAACTCAACTATGAATAACTTTGTAAATCATGGTGCTTTAGTAAAAATTTAAAAATCATAAGATAAAAGCAAATTAAAAAAGAAAAGAAAATGGTGGATGGATAGAAATGTAGGAGAGGGGAGTTAGCTGAGGCAGATGTAAGCTAACAAGTGCTTGGATACAGTGGTGTAGCAGTGCAATATACATATATCACTAAACCTCAGGGCCAAGAATACTGTCAGCATGTGACTCAAAGTACACCAAACTTCAAAATATGCCTGGGAGATAGATTGGAAGGCAGGAGAGAACCTGGGGACTTTGGCGGAGAGAAGCTTAAATTGGTGGTGGGATTTGTGTTGAAACATTGTATGTCCGAGACTTGGTTAGAAGCACTTTTGTAAATCATGGTTTCTAATTTTTTAAATTTTTCAGAAAGTCCCTTTTTGGACTTATTTTAAATTCTTAGGAGTTCTTTGTATCGATGTCACAGGAGTGTTCACAGAATTGTTCCTTGTTTGTTCTCTTACCCTATCACTTCAGTTTCCTTCCTTCCTTCCTTCCTTCCTTCCTTCCTTCCTTCCTTCCTTCCTCTCTCTCTCTCTCTCTCTCTCTCTCTCTCTCTCTCTCTCTTTTTACTTTTTGGGTCACACCCAGCCGATGCTCAGGGGTTATTCCTGGCTCTGCACTCAGGAATCATTCCTGACGGTGCTTGGGGGACCATATGGGATGCTGGGAATCGAACCCGGGTTGGCCGTGTACAAGGCAAACGCCCAACCTGCTGTGCTATTGCTCCAGCCCCTCTTTCTTTTTCTTCTTTTTTTTTTGGTTATTGAGCCACACCTGGTAGAACACAGGGGTCAGGTTCACTCCCTGTGATGGTCAAGGGACCATGAGTTGCCAAGAATTGAACCTGGAGATTCCACATACAATAAATACAATTCAGGTTTGTTTTTTGTCTGTTTGTAAGCTAAACCTGGCTGTTCAGAGGCTATTCCATTGCTATTCCATTGCTCAGAATGACATCTTATTTTGCTAAGGAAGCAACCGTATGCTGGGGATCAAACAAAGTTTGGCAGTAATGCAAGGAAATATCTTAACTTCTATCCATTGTGCTATCTATTCATCACGGAGAGAAATCATATACATTGACCTTTATGAACCATCCTTTTGACCCATCACCTTCATTTTTAGAGGGCAATAGCAATGTTTCGGCGAACAAGTCATAGGCAAGGGCTGTGGGCCTTATCAAGCCATTGAGAAGATATGACAGGAAGGAAATAGAAAGAATCATAGTCACAATTAATAAAAAGAAACCTTTATTAATGATGAATAAATTATTTCTGACATATTTAAATTATTACGTATAATTAATTTAAGAATGTGAAATGGTTTCTGATGTATTTTATAAACACATGTTAAAAATAAGGACCCATTCTAGCATTAACTAAACTTATTCTTCACCAGAACTGTCCAGAGCTCTGAATTGGGGAGATTCTGTTACTTCAGGAGGAGAATGGATACTTCCATCTCAAAATGGCTCCATCAGCACTTACGCTAATAATATATTTATTTCCTGGACTTATCCGGATGCTCATGATGTTTCCACTATGCCCAATCCCAACATGAGTCACTTTACCCTCATTATAATCCCAAACTTTGACCAGATGATCATTTCCACCTAAAAAAAAAAAAGACAAATAGTTAAGTGGCATTACTGCACTAGAGTGGAAACAGCCATGATTTCAAATAACTAATAATTTTGCAACCATAAAAGGGCCTGGGATCACATTATTCTAGTTTTATACATTAATTAAATGCTTGTGAAATTTTAGTTCAAAAAGCACATTTCCTTGTAAATGTTCAGAAGAATTTAAGAACCTGGTAAGATATGATATCAAGGTTTTTCACTAGGCATATTTGTGGATTCTAAATACTTATGAAAATCTTGATTTAAAATCCTCACTCTTTTTTTCAGTAGGAAATAACAGCAAGAGATTATGGAGCACTCAATTCAAGGAAGGGTCTATTTCTTTATTTTTTTAAATGGGGGTTGTGGGGTCAGAGTGATAGTACAGCAAAGAGGGTGCATGCCTTGCACACAGCAAACCCCTGTTTGATGCCCGGCATTCCAGGACTGATTCCTGAATGCAGAACCAGGAGTAACCTCTGAGCAACACCAGGTGTAGCCCCAAAACAAAAAATGCTGGTGTACCTTCCAAGAGGTGCTCAGAGGGTCTAAGGCTACTTTTCAATTCAGGAAGGTGTTTCAACATAAGGGTTGAAAGATGTTCTACTGCTTGGGTTATACGGTGTTGGGACCACCAGAGCAACACTAGCTGTGCCTGGATTCATTCAGGGCCATGCCCAGAAGCCATTTGGTGCCAATTATTGAATCCAAGCCTGAAGACATATACCCTAACCTCTGTATTCTCTCCACTAGCAGAGGTCCATTTCTTTAATCAGCGTCTATCACAGAACAAAATCAGGCAATAGAAAGTATAGCTGGGGCTGGAGCAATAGCACAGCGGGTAGGGTGTTTGCCTTGAACGCGGCCAACCCGGGTTCGATTCCCAGCAACCCGTATGGTCTCCTGAGCACCGCCAGGGGTGATTCCTGAGTGCAGAGCCAGGAGCAATCCCTGTGCATTGCTGGGTGTGATCCAAAAAGAAAAAAAAAAGTATGGCTTTTATTTGTGGGCCGGAACAATAGCACAGCAGGTAGGGTGTTTGCCTTGCATGAGGCCAACACGGGCGACCGGAGTCCAATTCTTCCACTCCTCTCGGAGAGCCCGGCAAGCTACCAAGAGTATCTTGCCCGCAGGGCAGAGCCTGGCAAGCTTCCCGTGATGTATTCGATATGCCAAACATAGTAACAAGTCTCACAATGTTACTCGGCCCGCTCGAGCAAATCGATGAACAACGGGAGGACAATGACAGTGACAGCTTTTATTTGTGCACTCTTAAAGTCCTAGGCAAGTGTTTTTCAGAAACGTAATTTCTGAATTCTCCTATTCCAGCACCCTAGCTACAACGTGAAGTGCTGAATCCAATCATTCTCTCTCTCTCTTTCTCTCTCTCTCTCTCGCTCTCTCTCTCCCTCTCTCTCCTTTGCTCTCCTCGCCCTTGCATCTCTTTCTCTCTCCTCTCACTCTCTCTGTCCTTTCTTCCTGTGTGGACTAAACATGATGATTTATGGGGCCCATGTGGTACCAGGAAACAACATAGTATCCATTATACTGGATAATGTGTCTTGATCCCTGTACTCTCTCTCTGTTTCTATGTATACATTTAAATCTGTTTTGCTGACACTTTTGATAGCCTCTTGCTTGGGTGTTACATTTTTATATTTAAATAAGCCATATCTATCTTTCTCTATCCCAGTACTAACCTGTGACAAAGTGTACTCCATCCAGTGTGATATCCATGCCATTTATTGATCCAGATAAGGAACCTTCCAACTCTCGGATTACTGACCCATCAAATACTTCCCAGTAAGCAATCTAGAATTCAGGAAAGGATCATTTAAGCATGAATAAATCCAGTGGAATCATTCACATGTAACCTAACAAAAGCTAATTTTACAGAATTTTGTAGAAATTAAGAAAATATGTCAAGGGGTGATATGCTAACTGATATTATAAAATACTACAGCAGGGGTGGAAGAATCATTTTAATATTTTAAGTATTCCATTTAAGAAGTGCATTCTATTTGAGGAGATGCTGGTAGACTGATAAACCAATAACATGATAGAATATGTTTTTTATTAGCTAAGCACACTAAGTCACAGCAAACTATAAAAGGAAGGAGAAAAAAATGTCCTTTATCCACTTTATCAACTCCGCTTTTGTGAAAGAAAATAAGCTACAGACAGAATGTAAGGGGAAATATTTCATGCCTTCAGATTGAGAAGCAATTGAGTAATCCAGAGAGTTCTAAAGACTGAACTTAAAATTTGCTTTCTTGGGCAGCTCAGATAGAGAAGGGAGCACCAAATAAAGGGTGTTTGGAGGATCCTCCCTGGAGGGGAGATGCATGTTGAAAGTAGACTATGGACCGAACATGTTTGCCACTCAATGCCTCTTTTGCAGACCACAACACCCAAAAGGAGAGAGAGAACAAAAGGGAACGTCCTGCCACAGAGCCGGGGTGGGATGGGGGGGGGGATGGAGGTGGGAGGGATACTGGGATCCATGGTGGTGGGAAATGGGCACTGGTGGAGGGATGGGTATTTGATCATTGTATAATCGAAACCCAAGCACAAAAAGTTGTAAATCTACAACTGTACCTCATGGTGTTTCACTAATGAAAAGAAAAAAAAAGAAAAAAGAAAAAAAATTGCTTTCTTATATGGCTAACCCTCCCCCTACCACCACTCTTTCCATCCTTTCCCCAATGTTCTCTTTTGCCTCATAGCAATAAAATATTCCAGAGGGTGCATATTAAATACTAGGTGATAACACCATGGTAGTTTAGGGGGTGAGTAGGGGAGACAAGAGTCAAGGGAGCGAGATGAACTGCTTTCATATTATTAAACTTTGAAACTTTATCATTTGCAGCCTACTTAAAAAGTATCAGCTCATTTTAAACGAAGAACTTTTGGCCAAGAGTTAGGAGTATGAATTTTGTTGTATATTTCACTCTTTCTCTTTGCTTGATGTTGATACCATTATTTATGTTCATTATGCCAGAAAACTGTGAATCTAAATTTAGCTCAAAATTATGTTATTTTAAGTATTTATGTAATTTTTAATTGATGTAGTGTCTGGGGAGATAGTACTGTGGTAAGGTGCTTGCCTTGCATGCAGGACATCTAGGTTTGATCCCCAGAACCCCATAATTGTCCCCCAAGCTCTGCTGAAAGTGATCAGTAAGCACAGAGCCAGGAGTAAGACAAGTGTAGACCTCCCCAAAACAAAACAAAATAAAAACAAAAAATCTAATTTTATTTGCTTTAACAAATACTTCTATTTTCTTCCCCCTCCCTTTTTTGCCACAGATAGGAAGGTGTTTCCTTCAGTTCAGTGTTGCCCTGGCTCCTCATGTAATCTATGTTTTCTTTCTACCTGCTCCATTTCTTACAATCTTGTTCACTCATTACTAAATGTTCATTTACCTATTCGCTTACATTTATATTGATCATTTCCGTTATTTATCACTCAAAATATATACATAAAAATAAATAAGGGGCTGGAGTAATACTACAGTGGGTAAGGTGCTTGTCTTGCATGCAGCCAACCCAGGTTCAATCCCCAGCATCCCATATGGTTCTCTAAACACAGCCAGGAGGCATTCCTGAGAGCATAGTCAAGAGTAAGCCCTGAGCACACAGCCAGATGTGGCCCCCAAACAAAAAAAAATAAATATATGAGAGAGCGGAGGCATAATAATATGGCCAATATATTTATAATAATAAATCTATAAATAATAGCATTACCATTTATTAACTTATTGAATCACCATGAATTACAAAGTTACAAAACTATTTATTATTGAGTTTCAAGTGTTAATTTATTATTATTTAAATACTCTAATGAATTTCCTAAATAGCAAACCCAGTGGTTCTCAATGGGCTGCTCCTGGATCAGTGCTTAAGAACTTGTGGTGTTGGTCATATAAACCACTGGGCCTCCCACATAAAAAGCATGTGCTTCAGTCCATTGATCTCTCTATCTTTTCTTTCTCTCTCTTGGGGCCCATGACTATTCAAATTTGAGTTAGACTCTCAAATTTTATAATGTAAATCCTAGAATATAGCCACCATCATAGTAATTAAAACATATTGAGCCTTGATTCCTACACTGACATCTGCCTGAGATGTGTCCTTTCTTACTCTCAGGTCTCACTAGTTCACATCTTCCCATGATGTACTTTCCTACTTTAGGACACATTTACCCTTTCTGAGGAAATGTAACACATCCTGGCTTGGATGTGTTACTTGCTTTTCTAGCGCTATTTGGCAATAATGTTGGTTTACCCAAATCCAGAAAGGTAGACCTCTTTGTAGTAGACATTTTGCCACACCCAGAAAGGTGTGAAAATATTACTTAACAGACAAGAAGTCTTAAGAGTCAGCTATGAAATGCCAAAGCCCTGTTCCAGAGAAAAAGAGATTTGGACAACTTTTGAAGGCTTGGTTTAAATAACAAGGAGTAGGCCCAATATTAAGTGCCCTCCAAACTCAGGGGGAGACCCTGAAGACAGGCCGACTCAAGAAAGAACTTAAATAGTCTTTGCCAATGGAAAACAAGGAATGTCCAGATCTGCAATCATTTCATGGGTTCTAAACTTAAGAATCAAGAGAAAAATCCCAATAACTTGGATATCTCTAACCCAAGAGTGGGATAGAATGGATTTTTGCATGCTAGGCAAGATGAGAAGACTCCTCTGAGAAGACTGAGAAGTTTGAGGCCACCATCATCTCACTGTGCTGACCTTATTGTCACAGCGTCTTTCTAAGCCTTGGTAACCAGACATGACAGGTAAAAATTAATTTCTTTTTTAAAAATTTTATAATGTAGGAGTACTGCTATTTATTCAGCCGTTGATTAAGCTGATTGAATTGGGCATGAACTCCACAAAAATTATTAATTTTAATTATTATTTATTGATCAGGATGGGATGGAGTGATAGCACAGCAAGTAGGGTGTTTGCCTTGCACACGGTTGACCTGGGTTCAATTCCTCCGTCCCTCTCGGAGAGCCCGGCAAGCTACCGAAAGTATCCTGCCCACAATACGGAGCCTGCCAAGCTCCCCATGGCATAGTCAATATGCCAAAAACAGTAACAAGAAGGCTCACAATGGAGACGTTACTGGTGCCCATTTGAGCAAATCGATGAACAATGGGAGGACAGTGCAGGACAGTGCTACAGTGCTATTAATGAGGATAACCTGACTTGTCCTTAGCAAACTCCCAGGACTCCCAGCAAATAACAGAATTCTCTAATCTTGCTTTATTTATGCAAAACAACTGACCATGGTTATAAAAGCAAATTATTTGTTAAATGCAGAGAGAAAACTATGTTTCAGTAACATGCCTTTTTGTAGAAATCAGTGTAGTTCTATGGAGGTGACAAACTTTCTGGGTGGGTAAGGATGTAAAATCTTCCCCTCTAAGGCATAAATTGCCAAGAAAAAGGTTAAATATTCAGGATATGTATCTACTCCTGAAGGTTTGTCTTTGTACAAAAGCCTTGCAGAAGTTATTCTTAAACTCACAGCACTTCAAACTAGAAAATAATTGAGACCTTTCTTGGAAATGACAGGATTCTGTACATTTGGAATCCTTGTCCATAGCAATATAGCAAAACTTTTGTATAAGGAACTAAAGGAGACTTATTTTAGACCCTAGAGTAGAACTAGAACTGCCATCTGGAACTTCAAACTCTTAAAGATCACTTAATCTCAGCTCCAATACCTAATCAGAGAAAAGTTGTGTACCTTATATGTAGATAAGAAGCAAGGATAACACTAGGTTTGTTAACTTCTAAAACTTCGGGAAACTCCTACACCTTATATGTAGCTAAGAAGCAAAGCTTTATAACTGTATCTCATACTATAATAATAACAAGGGCTGGAGCGATAGCACAGCGGGAGGGCGTTTGCCTTACAAGCGGCCAACATGGCCGACCCGAGTTCGATTCCTCCGCCCCTCTGGGAGAGCCCGGCAAGCTACCGAGAGTATCTTGCCCGCACGGCAGAGTATTACCCGTGACGTATTCGATATGCCAAACACAGTAACAACAAGTCTCATGATGGAGAAGTTACTGGGCCCACTCAAGCAAATTGATGAACAATGGGAGGACCGTGACCGTGAATAATAAAATTAACATTCTGAATTTAAAAAAAGTAATGTGGAGTTCATACCCACAATCAATGGCTGAATAAATAGCAGTATTCCTACAATATAAAAAAAACTTTCCCCAATATAATCAAAACCATCTACCACAAGCCCACAGAAAGCGTTAATCTCAATGGGGAAAAACTAAAGGCTCTCTCCCTAAGATCAGACACAAGACAAAGCTGCCTACTCTTGCCACTCCTATTCAATATAGTACTGGAAGTAGTTGCAAAAGCAGTTAGAGAAGAAAAAGATATCAAGGACATCATGATAGGAAAGGAAGAAGTCAAGCTTTCACTATTAGCAGGTGACATGATACTATAATTCGAAAATTCTAAAGAATCTACAAAAATTCCTGGAAACAATAGATTTGTTTAATAAAGTAGCAGGTCAGAAACATCGTCTCAAGAAAGAGAGATACAAGTATGAAATGACAAGAGAATGGATCTGAGTGGAGACTGGTAACCTAGATTGTCTGAATTGTGTTGAGAACCTGAAAGATCAAGAAGATTGGAACACAATCATTTCACATCTGCCTCAATGACCAAGTAGATTGGAGCACAATCATTTTACATCTGTCCACATTCTTAGAATATAATAAAGTGCTTACTCATCCCACTTCCCTTTGTTAAAAAAAATATAAAACCTTTCTCTGGAATCCTTTGGGAAACCCTTCCATAATATGGGAGTTTCCTTGCATTTCTTTTTCTTTCCTTTCTCATTCCTTAAACCATTTTTTTTCTGATTTTGACCACTTGATCTCTGGTCCCTTTCTTTCATTATTGACTGCTTGAAAACAAGAACCTGTGTGCCTGCACCATTAAAACAGCACCACCTATTCAGCATTGAGAAATCTACCCAACAGATTAGCAGCTTGACTTCAAACAAAAGTCTAACTGTTCAGGGTACAAATATTTATTGGTTCTTATTAATACCTTCACTGGGTGGGCATTCTCTAACCATACTGAAAAAGCCAAAGAAATGTCTAAAGTGTTGCTTAAGGAAATAATCCCTAGATCTGGCTTTCGAGGTCATTACAGAATGACAATAGAACTTTATTTGATTCTAAAGTCACCCCATATTCAGCCTCTGCCTTAAAAATTAATTATCTTGGGACTGGAGTGATAGCACAGTGGGTAGGGTGTTTGCCTTGCATACGGCTGACCCGGGTTCGATTCTCAGCATCCAATATGGTCCCCCGAGCACCGCCAGGAGTAATTCCTGAGTGAAGAACCAGGAGTAACCCCTGTGCATCGCTAGGTGTGACCCAAAAAGCAAAAGAAATTAATTAACTACACACAGCCTTGTACATCCTCTGGCCAAATTACAGGAAAGATGGAGAAATATAATCATACCCTAACCAAATATATTAGAGAAATTATGTCAAGAAACTTCTGAGACTTGGTTTTCACTCCAGACTATATTTCAAGATAGGGAATAAATAGCTCCTAAGAAAAGACACAGAGGCAGGGTAGGAAGGGGGGGTGGGGGGTGGGAGGGATACTGGGATCCGTGGTGGTGGGAAATGGGCACTGGTGGAGGGATGGGTATTTGATCATTGTATAATTGAAACCCAAGCACAAAAATTTGTGTCTACAACTGTACCTCATGGTGTCTCACTAATAAAAATTTTTTAAAAAAGTATTCTGTATTACAAAAAAAAAAGACTTTATCTTGGTCCCCTTGAACTGGTATATGGTAGGCCCTTTTAATGTTAGATTCTTACTGGACTTGGAGAGCTGTGATGTGAATTACAATAATATAGTGTTATGCTGTTTAAAAAATTTGACATGTATTCTTTGAACTTATGATTTTGCTTGTATGAGTGGAAAAATTTTAGTTTTGAGAAATGCCTTAACTTGAAATTTGTACAAACCATAAAAACTCCCTTTCCTGACACCCTTTTGCTATACTGTCTTGTTCATAATAAATCACATAAATCAAAGATACCATGTTTCAAACCACCACCTCCTTGCTGATGCCTGGTAGATAAGTGTGACTGATAAGGACATATGAGTTTGCACTAATACCCTGTACAATGTCTTGTGGGATTCCCCAATAGAGACTGATTATTTCAAGCATTTTTGCCTACTCTCAGTCCACCGGTAAACACACTTTATTCTTCTTCCTTAAGTCTTGGTGTGCTTGATCAAGGGAATTTTAAGCACAGCATATCCACGTACTCAATATAGATTTAAGGGGGTAAAATCTCTAGAGATTAAATGTTGTAGCAGGAAGACATGAAGGAAAGAATACGGTAATGTATACTGGGAAAACACTGTCTGGAACTGAAATCAGTCCAAAGGCACAAAGATGACACAAAAATATATCTTAGGAGCCAAATCACTGAAATGCAGACCTTTAGCCCCAGAGCACAAACGTTCTCCTGGGATAAAAAGTAGCTAAGCCCCTTAGGAGCAGATACTACAGACTATAACAAAGATAAGGAGAAAAACATAAAAAGTTCCAAGCTGTTTCTGGCAACCACCCTTGAAATGAGCTTTGGGGAGGAGGTAGTTTGGGGAAATTGTATATAAACTACTTGGCAGAGGAAAAGGGGCCTTGTCTCTTTGACCAGCTCTGAGATATGTACTTTATTATCCTACTGCCTCTTTGGCTACACATCTATCTGGCCTGTGATGTGTATTTTCTTACTTTTCCCATTCTAAGAAAATGGCCTTTACATCTTGCTTTTGATGTGTACTTTCTTTCTTTCCTTTTTTGTTCTTTTTGGGTTACACACACCCAGTGATGCTCAGGGGTTACTCCTGGCTCTGCACTCAGGAATTACTCCTGGCCATGGTGGGGGACCATATGGGATGCTGGGTATAGAACCCAGGTTAGCCGCATGCAAGGCAAATGCCCTACCCACTGTGCTATCACTCCAGCCCCCTTGATGTGTTCTTTCTTTGTTCACTCTTAAGTAGTCTGTGTTTTCTATTAAGCACATATCTCTATCATTCCCTCCCTTTATTTCCTGAAAAACTTTATAAACCATATACCAAAACCATATACCAAAGTATTTACAGTGGAACTTTGATTACCTCTCTAATTAACAATTCTATGCCAGTTCTTATAGGAACTACATTTTGACTGTAGTGAAATGTGGGGTTAAGAGATTGACTGGGACCCAAAAAACTGGAACACATGTTTTGCATTCAGGAGCTTGGGATTTAATACCAGAGCACTAGATAGTCCTTGAGCATTTGGACAGGTATAACCTCTGAGCACTGCCCGATTTGGGTACTATCCACAAGAACAAAGAGATAGGAAGGCCTAAGTCAATTTGGGTTCATGAGACATATTAAGGCAAATATTCTAGTTGGACTATGTAATATTTCTTGCGTTTCTATGACAAAGTATCTCCTATGATTCCCAAAATCCTAGATGAGAAGAGTGTAACTCAGTGGTAGACACCAATGTCAGGACCTAGATTCTATCCCCAAAAGCACAAATAAAAAGAAATAAATTAGTTAAATAAATATGAATAACCACCATGCAAGTTTAAATAATAAAAATATTATACCTAAATTCTTATATGGGTAATTGGAGAAAGGCACATTTAATATATTTTTTACAATAATTTGTTACTTTCAACTCCATCAATTTTTTCTGTAGCTAATGAAATTATAAATATTTGAATTTTACTTTTATTATTTGAAAATCATGTTAAAGTCTGAATTTGGGGAATCGAGACAGACAAATTGAGTATAAAATAATTAGATAGGTATCATATGGGTAAAACCATCTTCCTTATTCCTTATTCTTTATCCTCCCTCCTTATACCACCATATACATCTATCCTCTTCAATGAGAAATGTTACTCAAAAGAAAGACGATCTTTACTGAAGTAAGTGGACTCCTCAACTAACTAGGTTTTTAATATATTGATGGAGTAGAATGAAAAGAGATGACATGCTCTATTGTCATTCAAATTGTTTAGTCAAAGTGATTTGGGCACTGCAATTCTATTCCAGCAACAGAAAAATGTCCTAATAATAAAAAACAGTTCTTGTTGAGTATCCACTAAGTGCAGACCCCCTGCAATTACCACTATGTACAAGCATCATGTGAATCACCAAACATTTCAATTTGGTCTCTTTCATTATTTCCATAAAATTTTTAAATAGCATGACTGATCAGCAGCAAAATCATTGAAATGGCATCCTCTAGACTCCCTGAACTGCATCTTCAGCTGCAATGCCATAGTGTGATTTCCGTAGTACATACACACACACACAAAACAAACAATAAAGCATCTTAACTCTTACTAGAAATATTTACCTTTCTGTCTGTCCCACTGGTGATGACCTGAAATTCTTCAGGGTGGTAACAAACACACTGAAATAAAGTGTTGGCCAGGATCATCTGATTCCTCCTAAGATGCCTAAAAACAAAGGTGATGTTAAGGAACCAAAGCACTGAAACCAAATGTCATCAACACTGAGATCAAGAGACCAAACTTTAACAACCAAACTTAGAAAGGTGCCTGTCAAGAGGTCAGGCTGGAGTGTGTGTGTAGTGGTGTTGTGGGGGCGGGGGGCAAGAAAGGGGACCTGAGAACATTGGTGGAGGAAAGTTGATGCTGGTGATGGAATTGATATTACAATACTGTATGTCTAAAACTCAATCATGGTGCTTTAGTAAAATAAAAAATATATATTAAATAGCTGTAAAAGTCAACTTCCTTCTCTCTAGAAAGTACTTATTTTTCTTTTTTTCCGTTTTTTCTTTTTTTTTTTTGCTTTTTGGGTCACACCCAGAAGTGCTCAGGGATTACACCTGGCTCTGCACTCAGGAATTACTTCTGGCAGTGCTTGGGGGACCATATGGGATGCAGGGGATTGAACCTGGGCCGGCCACATGCAAGGCAAATGCCCTACCTGCTGTACTATCGCTCCATTCCCAGAAAGCACTATTTTTCAAATTGAATTTTGTACAAGTTGGATTTGAATTGGTTTAACTATACCAAATGCACTAGGAGTATTTTCAAAGGCAAAGCACAACATTCTATGATAAGTCTAAAGTTCCTATTGGAAAAAAATTGAAGACTGAACTTAGAGTCAAAATTCTAAGTTCTCCCTCCACCTGCCCCCTAAGAACTCAAGCAGCCGCCATCTTTCAGAAGTGCAAGCATGCAGGTTCCACGATGGTAAACTCCAGGCCTCAAGGGATAGGGGATGGGCCGGTCCTTCTCATCTCTCCATCCCTATGGGACCCTGGAGGTCACGCACACAAACTGCCTCCGGCTGCTGCTTAAGCTCCTTGACAGCCCAAATCCAGAGACACACAAAAGAATCTCCACGTGAGCAGCTTATGGCAGAGATTTCGCAAGACCCTAATTATCTAAAATTTTAGAATTCCAGGAGAGCACAGCTGTGACAGCTTATGCTACTCAAAACAAGCAATACAAAAGAGAGTATGGGGGAGAGTGTCTGCCACAGAGGCAGGGGAGGGGTGGGGTGGGGGAGACACTGGGGACCTTGGTGGTGGGAGATGTGCACTAGTGGAGGCTTGGGTGAGAGATCATTGTATGACTGAAACTCAAACAGGAAATCTTTATAAGGGTATCTCACAGAGGAAAAGTAATAAAATAAAATTAACATTCTGAATAAAACAGTAATGTGGAGTTCACATCCAACTCAATTATCTTAAACAATGGCTGAATCAATAGCAGTACTCCTACATTATAAAAAAAATTCTGAATTCTTTATAAGGTACTTTGTTCTTGAGGATGGGTTGGAGCGATAGCACAGCGGGTAGGGTGTCTGCCTTGCATGTGGCTGACCCGACCGATCCAGGTTCAATTCCTCTGGCCCTCTTGGAGAGCCCGGCAAGCTACCGAGAGTATCTTGCCCGCACAGCAAAACCTGGCAAGCTACCCGTGACGTATTCGATATGCCAAACACGGTAACAACAAGTCTCACAATAAAGACGTTACTGGGCCCGCTTGAGCAAATCAGTGAATAACAGGAGGACAGTTACAGTGTCAGTGATGAAACCTATATGATATTCAAGCTAAACTTATGCTTTTGTTTTGGGACCAAATCAAAAGTTGGGGGGTGCTTGTAGTTCAGTGGTGAGAATTGATTCTAGTAGTGGCTCTGGAGACCATGAGGTATCTGAGATCAATCTGGGGCTTCTCTATAAGCCATCTCTCCAGAGATGAGCATTTTAAACCACAGACACAAATTAACCAGAGATTACCCATTATATACAGAGAGGCTTAACGTATTTGAGGCTGTCATAAATCATTCATAGAAACAAGTTCAGATCTCCCTTCAGTACAAATAGGAAGTTTATGTGTAGACTAATACTTTTTACAAGCATTAGGAAAATGGTTATATACAAATAACTGTTCCTAAACCATTCAACAATGTTTTTTAGCCTTTTCTGCTGCTCTGCTTTACAGTGTTTTTTATTTTCAAATAAACTCTTGCTAAGCTTTACTTTTGCCTGTGTCTGTTGCTCAATTCATAATTTGAGATAGTTGGATCCGAGACATAACTAAGAACACGATCAGCTGAAGAGAAAGAAAAGTTTACAGCACTGTGCCCACTGCCATGATAAGATCATTATAGCCCTGACTAGATTGTGTAGGATGACCAGATTCTACATCATAAGTTATTTTCCCTCGAGATAAGGGATATAGCTAAAAGGGTTGGAGGTATGTGATATACAGAGGCCTTGATTCTGTCCCCGTAATCACATGCATTGAGCCCTGGTGGTCCCCAAACCACTGGACTTCAACAGTGCCATATTGCCAGTTTTATTATTTAGTTTTATCATCGAAGTATCTCCAGAAATAGCCACCAAAGCCCTCTGAGCACAGTGTGGGAGTTCTCTACCCTCCCAAACCTATTTCCCTTCTCCCTCTTGGGAAAAATAATGTTTCTTCTTTCTTTCTTCCTTTCTTTCTTCCTTTCTTTCTTTCTTTCTTTCTTTCTTTCTTTCTTTCTTTCTTTCTTTCTTTCTTTCTTTCTCTCTCTCTCTCTCTCTCTCTCTCTTTCTTTCTTTCTTTCTTTCTTTCTTTCTCCCCTCCCTCCCTCTCTTCCTTCCTTCCTTCCTTCCTTCCTTCCTTCCTTCCTTCCTTCCTTCCTTCCTTCCTTCCTTCCTTCTTTCCTTCCTTTCCTTCCTTCCTCCCTCCCTCCTCTCTTTCTCTCTTTCTCTCTTTCTTTCTTTCTTTCTTTCTTTCTTTCTTTCTTTCTTTCTTTCTTTCTTTCTTTCTTTCTCCCCTCCCTCCCTCCCTCCCTCTCTTCCTTCCTTCTTTCCTTCCTTTCCTTCCTCCCTCCCTCCTCTCTCTCTCTTCTTTCTTTCTTTCTTTCTTTCTTTCTTTCTTTCTTTCTCTCTCTCTCTCTCTCTCTCTCTCTTTCTTTCTTTCTTTCTTTCTTTCTTTCTTTCTTTCTTTCTTTCTTTTGGTACACTAGGAGGTACTCAGGGCTTACTCCTAGCACTATGCTTCAGAATCACTCAATCACTCCTGGCAGTGCTCAGGGCACCGTATAGGTGATGGGACCCAGGTTATCAAGTGTTTACCTGCTGTACTATTTCTTCCTCCTCAATTTTATCTTTTCTTAAATCTGAGTAGTGTTTTATTGTGTATAAAGGATATACAATCATTTCTTTATCCAGTCAACTATTCTTGGGGAATTGGGTTATTTCCAGGTTTTGACTATTGTGAATAGGCTGCAATGAACAGAACACGCCAAATGTCTTTCTGAATAGAGTTTTGGGATTACTGGGGTAGTTGCCAAGAAGTAAAACTGCTGGGTTATATAGAAGCTTAATTCCTAGTTTGTTGAGGAGTGTCCATATTGTTTTCCCAAAAGGTTGGATCAGTCAATATTCCCACCGCAGGGAATGAGTGTCTCTTTCTACCCAAATCCACACCAACAGTTTGTTTTTCCCCCCCTTTATGATGTGTCTCACTGGTATGAGATGACATCTCCCCTTTGCTTTATTTGCATTTCCCTGATGCACAGCATTTTCCACACACCTTTTGGCCATCTGTATGTCTTCTTCAAGCAAGTTTCTGTTAATCTCTTTCTCTCATTTTTTTGATTGGGCTCTTGGTTATTTTCTTGCAAAGTTCTACCAGTGGTTGCATAGACATTTTTTTTTTCTTTTTGGGTCACAGCCGGCAATGCTCAGGCGTTACTTTGGCTCTGCACTCAGAAATTACTCCTGGCAGTGCTTGGAGGATCATATGGGATGCTGGAGATCAAACCCAGGGTTGCCTGCGTACAAAGCAAACGTCCTCCCGACATACTATTGCTCTGGCACCACTACTAGTGTTTTATATATCTTCTATGACATTCCTTTATCAGATGGGTTGTGGGCAAATATATGAGTAATAGGCAAATATCATAATTTTTAGTCAAAAATCCCCTTATTTCTAATTTTCAAGTGATGGAGATTTTTTCCTGTTTCTTTTTGTGATTAGTTTCCATTTTCAAAGCATCATGGTCTAAGAGTAGTTAAACATAATTTTTATCTGTTTGATTTTATGGACATACATTTAGGGTTCTAGCTTGTGGTATATCTTGAGGAGTGTCCTGTATCCACTGAAGAAGAATGTGTACTCAACTTTTGAAAGATGAAGGACCCATATTCCATCTGACCACTACCACCATCATTGTGAAGACTTTTCTGTGGGATAGGTGAATGAATCCCTTTGCATTTATATATCTTCTTTGGCCTATTTATTCCATTCTTTCTCTCAAGACCACTTTGATATTTTGCCTAATCATCCAGAAGTAATAAGAGAAACGTCTACTGTTCTTGTATTGCTATCAGATCTTCTTTCCTGTATATTAGAATTGCATTAAATATTTTAATGGTCTATTAGATTGTTTAAGAATGTGAGCTCTTGCTATTTGATCGTTAAAAATGTTCATAGTGGCCCTTTATGGCATTTATAAATTTGAATTCTATATTGCCTGATATTGGTATGGTCACCCCAACCATTTTAAGGGAATTGTTTGCCTCTAAGATTGCTTCCCTGACTTCCACTGTGCTTATTTACTGTTATTATGTGTCTCTTGTAAGTAGCAGGAAGTTAGATTAAGTTTTCTGATCCATAATGCCACTTTTGACTTCATGCTATTAAAATTGAGTGAGATTATTGAGATGAATAAATTCAATGACATAACTTTCTAGAAGTTATACATATTTTTGAAATTTATCTTGACTTCCACTATTCTTCCTGCATTAACATATGCCTCAGAGACCTGGACCCTACGAAAACACTATGGATGAGAACACTATTCGGGTCTCTCAAAGAGGAATCGAAAGAACTATGCTTGGAATATCATGATTCACTCAAATGAGAGATAGAATCCGGAGTTCTGATCTTCGTCAACGCTCAAGAATCAGGGACGCTGTCTCATTTGCCAAGACATCAAAAATCAGATGGGCTGGACACGTAATGAGGTTTACAGACAACCGCTGGACTAGAGCCATTACTGATTGGATTCCACGAGACATCAAAAGATCACGTGGACGCCCACCTATAAGATGGTCAGACTTCTTCGTCAAGACCTTAAATGGTCGGTTTGAGGCTCTACATGTTCCTAAAACGAACAGATACCATTGGGCTACACTAGCACGCAACCGGGATGAATGGAGACGTTACTGGCACCCGCTCGAATAAATCGATGAATAACGGGGATTAAGTGATTAAGTGATCTTGACTTTTAAAGAAGTTTCTTTAATACTTCTTGCAAAACTTGTTACAAGGCAATCCATTTCCTAAATTCATGAAGCTTTTTATCATTCCTTTGAATTTAAAAGATAATCCAGTTGGAGAGCGTATTCTTGGCGAGATTATAATGTAATCAATTCATTACATTGAAGGGTTTTGTTTATGTTTCTTACTATATATCACCATTATCTTCTGACCTTTAAAGTCTCATTTGTTCTCCTCTGAATCAAATGGAAGTTTCTTTCAAATTCCTTTTTTGGTCTTGTTGCTTTCAATATTGTTTCTTGCTTTGACTTTTATCATTCTGATAACAATGTGTCCTGGAGTTTTCCATTTGGGTCTGTTTTGGCTGGGACCCTTCAGGTCTCTTGAATCTGGGTGCCAGCATTCCTCAATTCTGGAAAATTTTTATCTATGATTTCTTTGACTAGTAACTCTTCATTGAATTCACCTTCACCAAGAGACTCTGGTGATTATTATTTTTCCTCTTCAACTCATATAGTTCTCAAGTGTGCTATTCATTTCTTTTCAGACATTACCATCTTCTGCTATTTCTAGAGATTTTCTGCAACTCATCATGGAGCTTGCCAATTACTCTCAGTTGTTACTAGAATGTAATGCTTAGGCCTTCCATTGAATTTCTGTTAGTTTCAGTTATGTCATTTCTTCTCTCATGCTTTCTTCTGCTTTATTTGCTACCTATACCATAATTTTTCCAAGCGTATACTTTTTTCAGGTCTATGTGAGAGGCTATAGAATTGTTTGGAACTTTCAAGCCTTCCACACTTGAGCTTGATGAGATTGTTGAGCTTGATGGGATTCTACTTGGCTTCTCCATTGTATACACTATACTCTGACACAAAGTACACTGTGAGGGTGAATCTTTGTAGTTTGACCTGATGGGAGATTTATAATGAATCAATTCTCCAAGTGCTACTATTTTCTTCCCTGCCACACCTTCCCAGAAACATTTTGTTTTTTAGTGCTTGTGATATCTAGGTCTGATATGTATTACACAGCTTCTTTCAATGCTAGATTAGCTCTGCCTCCCTTCTTGCTACAATTTAAATTTCTATGGTTTCTTACTACCATCAACCACTGCCTTTGAGAGGACTTTTCTGTGGGATAGATAGGATAGATATATAGATAGATAGATAGATAGATAGATAGATAGATTTTCTGTAGGATAGATAGTAGAATAAGATATTAATAGCGTGGAGCCCTGGTACCACTAGAGGTACCACCAAATCTGTGGGTTCACCTCAAGAAGTGTAAGTGTGTAGAGTGTATTATGTAATATGTAGAATTACTGTAAGACGAGTAAGGCCAGGAACTTCAGGGTATAAGTAGCAGAAAATGGAGTTATATGTGCCTGCAGTGATGAGAGGTCAGTCACCATCTATTTTAATTAATCTAGCTCTTCCTGGAAGCCATACCTTATCTACATCATCTAAAAATCCCTCAACACTCCTATAAAACATAGGTTCTCCAGTTACACTTCTTTACTGTTGCCTTAAATAAGATTGTGACTCTCCATTTGCATATTATTTTGAGTACAATTAAATGTTGTATCTTGTATGTGCTGCTTTGTTGTCCCCATCACAGGTACCTACACCAGGTCCCAAATGATGCAAGTTCCATCTGTACTGGCTGTGACACACTCCTCGTTGTTCTTTTTCACCCTAATACAGGACACAGAAGACTTGTGCTCCTTTAGGGCCTCCTCCAGCTTCTGAGTCTGGCAATCTATCTGCCATACTCTCACCTAAAAGCCACAAAACACAGGTTCTCAATACAAACTTGTAAAGTTTTGAAGGAACCTTTTCTGAATTTCCTGTTGTCATCCCAGTTTTGGGCGAAAAAATGGGGCAGAAATATTCTGTCAGGAAGTTGTGAAAATGCTACTATCCTCCTGCTCTTAGGACTGAGAAATATACCAGACACACACTAATAAAACCAATAATACAGGAGTTATTGCTAAACCAAGTTAATTAATATATTTATTCACTTATGATAAGGATTGCTCTCTAATTTCTAGTACTATCAGAAAATTTCTTTGGTACTTAGCACTGTATAAAAACTTTCATATTGGGGCCAGCGTGAAAGTACAGTGGGTAGGATATTTGCTTTGCATACAGCTGACCCATATTTGATCCCTGGCATCCCTTATGGCTCCCCTAGCACCAGCAGGATTAATTTCTGAGCATGAAGTCTAGAATAACCCCTGAGCATGGCTGGATGTGTCCCCAAAAGCAAAACAAACAAAAAATAAAGGAATCTTTTTAAAAACTTTCAGATAAGCTGTTTGGTTTTAATTGAGTAAAATAAATAGGCTAAGTCCAGTTAACATGAGTGTTAATTTTCTTTAAGAAATACTTCTTAAAAAAATCACGATCATGATCACGACCATCCTGTTGTTTGTCGATTGCCTCAAGCAGGCCCCAGTAACGTCTCCTTCATCCTAGCCCTGAGATTTTTAAAAAGTGCCATATTTAAGGCTCTTTCAGGCTTAGGAGAATGAGACCCATCATTGTTACTGGTATTTGGCATATTGAGTACACCACAGGGAGTTTGCCAGACTCTGCCGTGTGGGCAGTTTACATTCAGTAGCCTGCCCGGTGTGTCCAAAGTAAAAATGAGGTAAGATGTCCTGCGGCTGCAAATGCGGCAAATGAGGCCACGCTCTTCCGGGAGCTGGGTTTTATAGTCTCTGGATCTTGGCCGTTGATGGGATTACACGGCGCCTGGGGGCCAGTTCGTGGGTGTGACCCCTGCCTACTGGAAGGTGGAGGATCTGGGTGGAGGATGCTCAGCCCCGATCTGAGATCCGAGTAGGCTTGGAGATCTCAGCCCCGGGACCCGCATGCCTTTGTTCCTCTGCCGGTACCTTCATGCGTGTGGAGAGTGGTCTCAGCATGGTGGTGGCTGGTTCTGGAGGTCTTTGGCTGCCAGAGCCCTGACCGGGGCAGGGAGGGAAATTCAACCCGCTCCCCTCCAAGGGGCCCCGGCGAGGACAGCCAGGCGCGGGGGCAGGAGACTCTTAAAAAATAAAAAATAAAAAAGGAATACTTCCTAAAAAAAAAAAAGGAAATACTTCCTAATATTCCTTCACTTTCTGAAGTTAAAATCATCTACTTATATGGAAAATCTCAAAATTTCAATGTGATGTCCTAAAATGATAAGTAAAATGAATATAGGTAAAAAGGAAAGGTAAAACAAAAATTAGTACTTTCACAACTCTACTAGAAAACAAGGGTGTACGAAAAAAGAGATAGCTCAGCTGACTGAACACAGTATTTTGCAATGCAGGAGGTCCGAGTTAGATCCCTAGTACTACATGATCCTACCAAACACCTCTAGGAGTGATCCCCAACACTGCTGGGTTGATCAAAAATAAAAAACGAATAATGTAGTCAGATGTTTATAATTTCTTACAGTGAATATTAGATTTACAAAACCAAGGAGAGCAGAAGCTGTCTTGTATTAGTCACACAAGACAAATGAAAGTAGTTTACACTAGACAAAAATTAGTGTTAGGATAAGTAATAAGACTATTTTATTATTTGTTTTGGTCGGGGGGAGGGTTGGGTCACACCCGGAAATGCTCAGGGGTTAGTTTTGGCTCTGCGCTTGGGGATCACTCCTGGAGGTGCTTGGAGGACCATATGGGATGTCTGGGATCGAACCTAGGTCAGCCATGTGCAAGACAAATGTCCTGCCTGCTGTACTACTGCTCTGATCCTGACAAATTTACTTTTTACCTAAATGCTAATCTTAAATGAAGAAAGAAAACATTTTAATCCCAAACAAACTGAAACATATTCATGTCTACATTGCCTAAATAATCCCCCATACAACAAAGAGACATGAGCTGGATAGTTACCAAAGTCGAAATTAAAATATTTTGACTAATATTTTACTAATATTCCTCACATTTTAAGGCATACATTCATTCTTTAATGAACATGATACTCAGATTACTGACAAGTATTGTATGGGCACAGGCAAAATGACTTCGGGACTGGAACTTCAAAGGTGCCAGGTTAATGTGCCCCTTAGTAATGATATTGCAGGGATTTTTGATAAAGTTTAGCAGGAAGGGGATAAGTGGTGGGGGAGGAATATTTGCAACCCAGACAATGGCCATTTATCTTTTACCAAGAAAAATGGGATTATCTGAGTATGTTGCTGCATGATTATTAGCACACAGCTGATACAGTACCTCACATTTCTAGTACTTACAAAATACTACGTATTTTTAATACAAAGATAACAAAATTTTAATACAAAAAATACAAAGAAGAAAAGATTATAATAGTTGTATGGGATATGGGAGGAGGAGCTTACTTTGATACTGTGATAAGATTGCTGAGCAGAATTAAGGATAATTTTCAATGTGATATTTCCTCCAGAACCCCTCATCTATTCAGGTTTAGACACTCAGAATGCAGATGAAAAAAGGAAGTAAAACCAGGAGGTGACAGATGGGAGTTGGAGATGCAGCAGGTTCAGGGTTTAATCTGGTTGTGTAGTTGATACCTGTCATGTGGTTAGTCCCACTGGAGTTGTGCTCTGATTGTAAAACAAATACACAGTTTTGAAGATTTCATACAGAACAGTCTAAAATATACCATTGTTGGGGTTAGAATGATAGTACAGCAGGTAGGGCATTTGCCTTGTGCGCGGCTGACCCGGGTTCTATTCCCAGCATCCCATATGGTCCCCTGAGCACCACCAGGAGTAATTCCTGAGTGCAGAGCCAAAAATAACCCCTGTGTATCGCCAGATGTGACCCAAAAAGGAAAAAAATATATCATTGTTAGTTGGAAATGGTCACTCTGGACAAGAACTGAGTGCTGAATGTAGGTAAAAGGATATACATGATAACCTTTCAGTACCTATATTGCAAACCATAATGTCCAGAAGGAGGAGGGAGAGAGAGGTAGGGAGGGAGAGAGGGAGTGAGAGGAAGGGAGAGAGAGAGAGAGAGAGAGAGAAGAAAAGTCTCTGCCATAGAAGCAGGCTGGGAGGGTGGGTGATGCTGGCGGGAGGGAAACTGAGGACACTGCACTGGCATTGGGAAATGTACAGTAGTAAAGCAATGCATACTGGAATATTGTACAACAGAGACCCAATCATGAACAACTTTATAACTGTGTATCTCAGGATGAGTAAATTTAAAAAATAAAATATAGATTGATTGGAATGTTCTTGTCTTTATACAGAGAAACTCTATGTCTTTATTTTTTTAATTTAATTTATTTAAAATTTTTTTTCTTTTTGGGTCACACCTGGCGATGGTCAGGAGTTAATCCTGGCTCTGCACTCAGGAATCACCCTGGTGGTGCTCGGGGGACCATATGGGATGCTGGGAATCGAACCCAGGTTGGTCGCATGCAAGGCAAAAGCCCTACCCGCTGTGCTATCACTCCAGCCCCTGTATTTTTTTTTAATGTTGGAGAGAAACTCTATGTCTTTATACATGCCTTTATACTCAGATACATAATTCTGTGTATACATAGTTCTAATTCTGTATACATAAAAACTGTCTATAATCTCCCTGGAGATTAAAGAATATGCACAGGTCATTCACCTGGGAAGCAGAAGTGAAATTTAAGTATAGACCCAAACACTCAGCTACTAATCTGCATGGTCCAAACTCTGCTAAGTGCTACATCATGATGCTGTGTTTTTATTCTCTTTGAAAATTAATTATTGGGCCTGGGAACATATCATAGTGGTCATGGCAGGATCTCAATTTGATTTCCAGAGCTGCATAGCCCAGTACAAGATATGATCCTGGTGTTTTCAGGAATCTCTGAACGTAAGTAACTACTTCTTCGAGACCTAATACTGAACTGTCTTTCCAGATTTAATGTGGCTGAGAATTGCTAGGAGTAGCTCTTGAGACCCCTAAATATGGCTTCTTATTTTGTTTCAGAGCCATACCTGGCAATAATTAGGCTCTATGGTCTGGGATCACTCTTAGTGATGCTCAGGGAGATGACATGAGACGCTAGCTTCACACCTTATGTTCTGTCTCTCCAGTTTCAATAATTAAATAGTTTAAAAAGTTATATGATGGTACATATAAAATGAAGGGAAAATAAAGATCCTCTGTAAAGAAAAGGATAGTTTTAAAGTAGGAAAAAGCTGAGGGTAGAGGAGGAGATTCAGAGAATGAATGTAAGTGTTAGATGTTTAAACATTCTCAAAATGGTAGATTAAGTAGAAAACCAGTATAAACAAACAAACACTGTCCTCTCATTGTTCATGGACTTGCTCGAGTGGCCCAGTAATACCTCCATTTTGAGGCTTGTTGTTACTGTGTTTGGCATATTGAATATGGTCACGGGTAGCTTGCCAGGCTTTGCCGTGCGGGTGAGATACCCTCAGTAGCTTGCCAGGCTCTCCGAGAGGGGCAGAGGGATTGAACCCGGCTTGGCTGGGCTGGCTGCACACAAGGCAAACGCCCTACCACTGTGCTATCACTCCAGCCCTACCATTTGTAGTTTCCACCAGAAAAGTAGTATAGTTTTATATTTTAGTTATACTACTTTAGGTCAAGTAGTATAAAGTTCTTTTAAGTAGATATTATTTCAGGGGTCAAATGGCAAGTGGTCAACCCAGACTTGACCAATCCAGTGTTTTGGGGCTATCCCTGTTGATGCTCAGGACTTGCTCCTGATTCTGCATCCAGGGATCACTTCTAGCATGATGCAGGGGACCATATAGGATGCCAGAGAAGAACCAGGTTGGTTACAAGCAAAGAAAGCACTCTTCCCGCCATACTATTTCTCCAGCCCTATCATGTGTTTATCTCTAATATCACTTCTATGTAAGAAAATTTATTTAAATGTTTGTATTATCAGAAACGTATAAAGTATTTTTGAGTTCATTAAAATATTAATTCGTTATCATCAGTGTTAACTATGCAAGCATATAATCAGATAAGACAAATACTTGGAGAACTGCTTTGAAAATTATTTTGTATTATCTGAAAGTGAAGAAAAATTTTAAATTCTAAATATAACCAGAACAATCATTTGATAGTTATATGTAAATCTATTAAAGAAATATGTAAATATGAGATAATATATTACTAAATCTTAATAGGTCATTTTTATGCAGAACACTTTTGGAACTTTTGTACATAATGGATGTGTGCTGAGAATATTTCAGCTTAGTAGCATGTCTGTAAAAGATATTAAATATTTTTACAAGTTATACACAGAAAAAAATATTAATTCGTTAAATCTCAAGAGATCATCTAACTGCAAAAACTCCTTGGACATCCATTACCAGGTGAGATCTCTGAGGTGCTTTCAGTGGAATAGGTCAGCTCTGCCAAAAGCAAACCCCGGCAGCCACTCCCACACCCCAAAGCTACTGCCATGCATCAGGCCAGACCCCACCGCCTCAGTACTTTGCACCATAGAGAACCTAATGTGCTCAAAGCTTCAGGTCTTTGTAGCTGAAAGCTCCAGGCCTTCTCAGAGTTGGGATGGACAACCTCCCCCAAACCCTCATACTTTTGGAAGACCCAGCAGTGACGGCCATGTCTCACCGCTGCCACCATGTAAACTTATCTAATTCAGGGACTTAATGTCTCCAGGATGAGATACAATTTTCATAAATTTTCTTCCACTGAAATAATTTTTGATCAATCTGTTAGACATTTAATGGTACCAAGTAATGTGAAGTAAATCATTGTTGGCCTCCTACAGGGGTAGGATTTAGGGTTGGTTGGAAAAATAGAGACAGTGGTGGAAGGAAGGTGACAGTGGTGGTGGGACTTGTGTTTTAATATTGAATACCTGTAAGAAATCTTTGTATACCACAGTGTTTAAAGCAAGTGGGAGGAAATAAAATAAATTCCTAATTTGTTCCTGCTTGAATCTTAGTTCAGAAACATATTAAAAATGGGTAGCTGCTCTAAACAGAAGGCTATTTTAAAATATATATCCAGCTTTTCAGAACAATACCTCCCCTTCCCCACCGCCACTGATGATCCTTTTACAGTCACTGGTGGTAGCAATAGCTGTCACTCCGATCCTGTGGGCGTTGTTTATCACATACATCAGTCGACCTGTCTCTGGCGCAAAGGCTCGGATTTTACCATCATTCCATGCTGACATAAAAAGAAAACAAAAGGCAGGTGAATTAAGTATGAAGATGGCTGCTTTTCTAAACAATAGATGACTGGATAGTAATGGTAGTAATAAAGGAAAAACAGAAACTAATCTCCTGCCAATTGAAAATAATAGTATATTTCTTCCCCCCTGTTTCTTAAATAGGACCTGAGTGGTTTTCCTTCATTTAACCTAAATTCAGTTGCACCCACCGTCAGGAGAAGATTGGGATGGGAGGGAATGAAGAAGACCAGCTTCTTCCTCTCATGTGAACTATAAAACCTGTACATTTAATTAATTTCTATCACATCTAGGATAATTTAACATCTTCAAATAAATGTCACCCCTCCTCCACTTATGGATGAGCTTGATGTTCTTCCCTCACTCCTGTCATCTTCACCTCAATAAAAATTTCCACCATCTATCCTGATGCACAAGTCAACTTTATTATTTTTTTTACAAATCAACTTTAGTCATCATTGATTCTTCTCTATTTCATCCACTCAACCTAATCCAATATCCAATTCAATAGCAAGTTATATCAGCTTTCAAAAATTTACTAATATTTTTATTAATGCACCATTATTTACAAAGTTATTCATAGTGTATTTTCAGGTATTTAATATTCCAACACCAGTACCGCTAGTGTCAACTCTCTCCACCGTCTTTCATGTTTATAATGGAAAAATTATAAAAATCAGTGTATTTGGAGAAAAGTAAAGAATGGGTATTTGATCATTGTATAGTTGAAATCCAAGCACAAAAATTTGTAAGTCTACAACTGTACCTCTGGAGTGATAGCACAGCGGTAGGGAGTTTGCCTTGAACGCAGACAGCCTGGCCAAGCCAGGTTCGATTCCTTCACCCCTCTCGGAGAGCCTGGCAAGCTACGGAGAGTATATTCAATATGCCAAACACAGTAACAACAAGTCTCAAAATGGAGACGTTACTGGGCCCAATCGAGCAAATCGATGAACGACGGGAGGACAGTGACAGTGACAGTGACAACTGTACTTCATGGTGTTTCACTAATAAAATTTAAAAAAAGAATCAAGAATGGCTAGAGGGTTGACTGACAAGAGAAAAATTAGAAGTAAAAATGCAGTTGTGGTAGAGAAGGGAAGACAAGGAGATAAAGGACTTGTAGGCAATTGCACTTTTACTCTTAAAGGGTAGATCTGTGGTCTGAAGGAATAGTACAGTCTGTCATATGTTTTTAAAAACTGGAGAGGAGTTGGGCCTATTCCAGTTATACTATGAGGTTTTTCTGGCTCTTTGCTCAGGAATGAATCCTGGCAGTGTTTGTCTGTATACAAGGCAAGCACTTGATTATCCTTCTGGGTCAGATCTGGGCCCAATCTCTAGCACTGCAAAAAATTTTTTTTCTGAGTTCTGTGTTGAGACTAGACCACTGTAGAAGGGTTATAGACAAGGATAGAAACAGGGAGACCTAGTAGGCAGTTACAAGAGAGTGATGATGGTGAGGTTTGACATGACATAAAATTATCAAATCTTGAATATACTTTGAAGTATGAGCTATTACAGGAAGTGGGTGTAAGAAAAAAGAGGTTCATGACTCCAAGACCTGAGTCATGAACAGTTAACTATTTGTCAACTACTTGTTCAATAGTACAGCAGGTAGGGCATTTGCCTTGCAAGCAGTCAACCTGGGTGTGATCCCTTACACTCCATATGGACCCCTATGCCACACCAGAGAGCCAGGAATAAATTCTGGGCAAGCCAGATGTGGCCAAAAAACAAAAAAACCAAAAGTCTAAGTCAGGTCTTTCTCTCTTATACAACAAATGGGGTTCTTAACACAATTGTCCTGTACTGAAGAGATCTAGTTTATTTCATAACTGAATTATTCCAGGTATGTGGGAATCTGTAATTGAGAACTCTGAGTTCAACGGGACCTGGAATAGAGATCCTCTACCCAAATTCCCCTGTCTCCAGCAACTCAGCAGCCACACCCATTAACGAGCTCTGGCTGGTGCCAGATAATCTCTTCACCGGCCACCATCCAGATCACATGTCCCTCTCTCATGGAAGAGAGCATAACATGAATCTCACCATAACCATGCTGGACCCTGTGCCAGCTGTTTCACTCGGGGTGCCCCAGAGGGAGCCGGGTGAGAGCCTTCCCTGCCCCAAGAGACCAAGACCCAGGAGCCGAAAACCTCCAGAACTCAACTACCGCCATGCTCACAGCCACTCTCCACAAGCTCGGGCTCACCCAGGACTGAACATTTTCCTGGACCTGTATCACATGGGAAGACTAGTAGCAAAAGAGAATGACAATAGCCAAAGCTCCTATCAGAGTCTGAGGTGAAAATTCGATATATTGAAATTACCGGAAATGATACTTTTGCCATCTTTCATGAAATCAATGCTGTGGCAGGTCATGTTGGGTATAGTTATCCGCAGCAATTCTCTATTGGACAATGTGTGCCACACCCTGATGTCCTTCTTGGCACAAGTGGCAAACAGCTCAGCAGTACCACTACAAAGAAACCACTACGTCACTCAGAGCTATATCATTGTTTCTTACATGCATGTCTGACACTAAAACGTATTTTATAAGAATATAGAGAAGGAAGACTCTTCAATACTAATCATCTTAAAGGCTGACTATCCTATAGGTTTCATGTAGAGAATGGAATTTAATGCCTCAGATATCTGTAAAGAAGCTTCTGGGGCGGAAGCAATAGTAACAGCAGGTAGGGTGTTTGCCTTGCACTTGGCCTACCTGGATTCAATCCCCAGCATCCCATGTGGTCTCCTCAGCACCGCCAGGAGAAATTCTTGAGTGTTGAACCACGAGTAACCCCTAAACCCTGAGCATTGCTGGGTGTGACCCAAAAAAGGGGGAAAAAAAGCTTCTGTTGTCTTTTCCCTTGAGGAAGAGTTAAGATAAAGTTTTTCATAAATAAAATATACATTTTTTCATGTTCTTCCTCTGAGCTCAGATGCCTCTGCAACTCAGTGATGGTGGAGAAAATGGAAATGGATAGTTGTTTCACTACATTTCTTTTTGAGATAATGAGATGTTCTAAAATTAAATTAGGTGAAGGCTATACAACTCTAAATTTGCACCCCCATTGTAATCTCTATAATAAATCAATGGTATCGCATGTACTTAAATTTCAATAATGTATTTTTTGGCAGAACTATGAATTGACTCCAGGAAAGTACTCTACCTCTGAGTTACATAATTGTTTCCCAATCTGTCTTTAAAATACAGGTGCAAAACCTAATTAGGATTAATTAATTCTTAATAAATTAATAAATGTAATGATTAAAATAAATAATTTGAAATAAAGTTATAAAAGGTTATAGGACCCAGTAATTTTACATACGAACTCTACCAAACTTCTTAAAAAAACAGAGGATGTGAAACAAAAATAAATGACCAATGAGAATCATCAGCATTTCCAATAGTGGAAAATTTAGAAGACTCTAGTTACTAATCACAGAACCAAAATTATACCTCACAAATTAGATATTGATTCTTTCAAGTGGAACATTTTAACTATTAAAGAATAATTTGTATTTTTATAAGTTCAACATAAATGTTGAAGAAATTTAGAACTGAAGATCTTTGATAAACCTCAGTGAATAAATATCATGAAGGACAAAATGTTGCAAATTCAATTATTGGTTGAAGCTGTTGTTGATATAAAACTTCAGGTGATTGTGTGTTTAATTTGTTTCATGGGGGACTTACTAAAAACCACTTAGCTCAATCCGAAAGAACCACCACTATAAGAACTTCAAATTGGGTCAAGATTGTGGCTTAGCTGTACAGCATATGACTCTTCTCTATGAGTCCTTTGATTTAATGCACAGCACCACAGAAAAAAATAGAGGGAAAAAATACAAAATGTGAAATACCCTAGAGGTGTTTTGAAGTTTTTTAATGCCCTATTACACTTTTTTCCAGTTTCCAGCATTGGGAAAACAGAAAAAAAATTAAGCAAACATTGTAAAGAAGGCCAAACTTGAGTACTAAGCACTAATGTATATTAGTAAAAGCAAGATAAAATCTATTACAGTAACTTACTGTGATATAAATTAAGGAGGAAAAATCATAATTATACTAGTAAATATGGAAAACACATGAATAAAATTAAATTTCTCTGCACACTACATCACATTTCCACATTCTGTTTGTAGGAGGATAATATCTTCCCCCTCTTATACTTACAATGGAAAGACAATGTCCTGGACAGCTTCAAAGTGACAAGTTGCAATGAGAGTCTCTTTGAAATCTGTGAAGTTGACACGATAAATGTGTGATTCTTCTGTTCCTACAAAAAATTGGTGTCCTTCACCTCGAAGTGTTATAGAAGTGATACCACCTTGAAACTGGATCTTCCTTTAAGGAGAAACAGATTCAGTCGATGAGTTTTGTATGCCATATAAAAATTATGTAGGGGATACAATAACAATTCAGGAATATGTCTATAGATATGTCTTCACAAAGTTAAGAGTTAAAACAGTCTTGAGATTCCACTGTGAGAAAATAAAGAGAGAGGCCAACTTAGTTTGCAATAATCAGGGAAGCTTCATTTTGGGGATATAATTGGAAAACAGATTGCAATAAATGAAGGGTTTGAAGAGAGATAATTTCAGGCAGGTATATTGGAAAAATAGTTGTGTCAATTAAATATTAATTCATGGGGCTATGGTGCTGCCAGCAGGTCAATGTGTACCTGTGAGGCGAGTGCATCAGCAACCTGATGGTGCCTTCAGACTTCCAGATACCCCAAAATTGCTGCTGTGCCTTTGGCCAGACCCCAAAAATTGGGGCAAAGTTTACCAAGAAAGCAAACGGCCAAAAGTTAGGTATGTGGGAAACACACCCACAAACCACCTCTGGCTCAGCTATATAATTGGAGGCATGGCCTCTCTGGTTCCTGATTGAATTGCTTAATGGCCATGATCCCAGAGATTCAGAAACAAATCTCGAAACCCGGCAGCTTTTGGCAGAAATGCGTCCGGTCCCTGCAGTAGGTTACCGGTGCTGGGCCAACCCAAGTGGGAATAGGTTTCGTGCCTTGGCCTGTTCCCCCTGGTGGCCCGGTTTCCACCATCCTCCAGAGGCCACTGGACAGTCAGATTTGGGCTTGCAGGAACTAGACGCGCAGGGCTTCACGGGATGGGGGTGGAGCCGGTCCTGTCCACCCCACCCCAACGCGACCCCAGGTCATTGCCCACGAATGGCCTCTCTGGCTCCTGATCAAGCTGCTTAACGGCCATGATCCCAGGTCTCAGAAACGAATCTCGGAACCCAAAGGCTTTTGGCAGAAATGTGTCCTGTTCCTGCAGTAGGTTACTGGCGCTGGGCCACTCCAGATGGGAATAGGTTTCATGCCTTGGCCTGTTCCCCCTGGCGGCCTGATGATCACCATCCTCCAGAGACCACTGGATAGTCAGGTTTGGGCCTGCAGTGACAAGACACATGGGGCCTCACCACATGGGGGTGGAACTGACTCTTTCTCCCCATCCCAACAAGACCCCAAGTTGCCGCCTACAAACGGTCTCTCTGGCTCCTGATCAAGCTGATTAATAGCCATGATACCAGAGACTCAGAAACAAATGTTGACACCCAGTGGCTTTTGGCAGAAATGCATCTGGACTGCATACAAGATGGCTGCCAGCTCAGAGCTTATTGGAAAGCCAGGTATGAGCCGGTGGTGACGGGGCAACTGCAGTCTCATGGGAAGGGGGGCGGTACCAGCTCATCCTTCACGCCCTACCGAGGTCACGAGTTGCCCCCCACAAGCGGTTCTCTGGCACGGCCATGGCTCCAGAGGCAAAAGGACTTAATCCAGAGCCCGGAAGCTTGCAGCAGAAAAGTGAATGGACCATGCGTTAAACTATGGCGCCAAGCCTCCCCGGGAGAAAAAGGGTGTTGCTCCCTTCCGCCTTTCCCCGCCCTGGCAGCAAGGTAGCCGCCACCTCAGAGCTTATTGGAAAGCCAGGTATGAGCCGGCAGTGACGGGGCAACTGCAGTGTCATGGGAAGGAGGGCGGTACTGGCATGTCCTTCACACCCTACCGAGGTCACGAGTTACCCCCCATGAGCGATTCTCGTGCCATGTTATGGCATGGCCATAACACCCGACACACAGAAACCAATCTCGTAATTATCTGGCTCTTTGCAGAAATCCAAAATCGTGGCTGCGTGACATATGAGTCTCATAACCAGCTATAGAAAACAAAATATTTCACAATGCCTTTTCAGCAATTCTGATTGTTTGGGGGGAAATTCTAAACAATAATGGTGCATCTTTTGTCAAAATAATGAATGTAATCAATGTAGAGAAGAATTAAGTAGAACCATCTGCCTCACGGGCATTTGGAGGGGTGGGAGGGGGGATATACTGGGGTTCTTGGTGGTGAAAAATGAGTACTGGTGAAGGGAAAGGTGTTTGATCATTGTATGACCGAGACTTAAACCTGAAAGCTTAGTGACTTTTCCCACAGTGATTCAATAAAAAAATATAAAAAGAAAAAAATAAATAAAAAAATTAAGGTGGAGTTCATGCCCAATTCAATCAGCTAATCAGTGGCTGAATAAATAGTAGTACTCCTACAAAACATATTAATTCAATATCTGAATATAATTTGAAAATCAAGGGAAACCTTCTTGTCAAAGAATATTATGATCATATCTTTTAAAGAGAGAAGTTAGAAACAAGCTACCAAACTGCTAAATCATCTCAGGGAGATTGATCTATGGGCTGAAAATTCTGTAGGGGCTTCTCAGGATGGGGTGGGCCAACTCCCCCTCCCTTCAGATATGGCTAGCAGATGCCACACCCAACCTCCTATGCCATATAAATGAGCCCAGTTCCACAACTCCTAAAGTGACACCTCCTACAAATTTCATGGCACTAACAGCACAACAAATTTGATGTGTATTTGGGGGGAAATTCTAAACAATAATGGTGTATCTTTTGTCAAAATAATGAATGTAATCAATGTAGAGAAGAATTAAGTAGAACCATCTGCCTCACAGGCATTTGGAGGGGTGGGAGGGGGGATATACTGGGGTTCTTCGTGGTGAAACTCAACAATCAAAACTCAACAATCAAAAACAATTGCTGGGACCCATGGGGATGGATGACGGGCACTGGTGGAGGGATGGGGACTTGATCATTGTATAACTGAAACCCAAGCACAAAATTTGTAAGCCTATAACTGTACCTCATGGTTTTTCACTAATAAAAAAAGAAAAAAAATTTAAAAAAAAAACAATTACAGAGAAGTTTCACCAGCAACACTCAGCTCAGCAATACCTTAGAAAATGTTTAGGAATACCATCATGAGATTAGCAATCGATCATCATAAAATGACTTTGATTTATCTATTTTCTTATAATTTCACCTCCATTTTATTGTTGCAAGCAATATTAAGTAAATTTGTAGTTTGCCTGCTAAGGGGACAGGCTATGGGGGTGGGATGGAAAATGGGGTCATTGTTGGAGGAAAGATTGTATTGATTGTGAGAGTTTGGGCATTCTGGAACACTGTATGCTAGAAATAACTGTATTTTGCTAAAACCTCAGGGTTGGGAGGAATAGAGACGTTACTGGCCCCTGCTCAAGTAAATTGAGGAACAACGGGATGACAGTGATACAGTGATAAAATAACAATAAAAAGATAGGAGAAGCATGCCAAAAGTAGACTATAGACCAAACATGATTGCCACCCATTGCCTCTTTTGCAACCCACAACACCCAATAGGAGAGAGAGAACAAAAAGGAATGCCCTGCCACAGAGCCAGGGTGGGATGGGGGGATGGGGGGGTGGGAGGGATACTGGGATCCGTGGTGGTGGGAAATGGGCACTGGTGGAGTGATGGATATTTGATCATTGTATAATTGAAGGGCTGGAGCGATAGCACAGCGGTAGGGCGTTTGCCTCGCACGCAGCCAACATGGCTGACCCGAGTTCGATTCCTCCGCCCCTCTCAGAGAGCCCGGCAAGCTACCGAGAGTATCTAGCCCACACAGCAAAGCCTGGCAAGCTCCCCGTGATGTATTCGATATGCCAAACACAGTAACAAGAAGACTCACGGTGGAGATGTTACTGGGCCTGCTTGAGCAAATCGATGAACAACAGGAGGACCGTGACCGTATAATTGAAACCCAAGCACAAAAATTTGTAAATCTATAACTGTACCTCATGGTGTCTCACTAATAAAAAATTTTTAAAAAGATACATGTATGTTATGCACATTGTAACACTATTTGCAAGTCAGAATTTGAAAACAACCCAAGTATCTAACAACAGATGAGTGGATTTACACAATGGAATACCACTCAGGTATAAGAAAGTACGAACTCTTGCTTTTTGCTATAACATGGGTTGAACTCAAGTGGATTACACTAAATAAAATAATCCAGAAGGAGAATGACAAATACCAGATAATCTCATTTTTATGTGGCATATAAAGAAAGAAAGGAACAGATGTTTCCCCAAGAGCCCTTAGGGACCAGAGCAATAGTCTAGCAGGTAGGGTGCTTACTTTGTAACTTGTTGGCCTGAGTTCTATTCCCGTAACCACATATAGTCCCCTGGGCCCACCAGGAGCGATCCCTGAGCACATAATCATGAGTAAGCATCATTGCGTATGGCCCAAAAATCAAACAAAAAAAAATCAACTACTAGCTTAACGTCTGGCACATAATATATTTCAATGAATAAAACAAAACTGAAAGCCTGAGAGTTGATATTATAGTATGATGAGTTTATGACAGTGTACTTCATGTTATGACTCTGTATTTACTAAACAATAACATGCATTTATTGAAAGGGCAGCATCCCTTTGGTAATACTGGATTATGTTCATTTAACATTTCACTGGCAAAGAAAATGTCTATTGTTCTTGGACTCTGGACTCAACGGGACCCGGGAACAGAGATCCTCTACCCATTTCCTTCAGTCTCGGCAACCAGGTGTCACACCCATAAGCCACTTCCTGCAGGCGCCAGATAATCTCATCATTGGCCACCATCCAGATCACACGGCTACTTCTCCTGGAAGGGAGCATAACATGAGGCTCCCATAGCCATGCCACCAGACTTTGTGCACCAGGATATTCCACTCAGGGCACCTCAGAGCAGGGGCAGGTGAGAGCCCTCCCCGCCCCAAGGGACCCAGCTCTGGCAGTCAACCTCCACAACCCAACTGCCACCACGCTCAAGGCTGCTCCCCACATGCTCGGGGCCAAGCCCCACATATGAGTCAGCATATTCTTGGACCATGCGGCCGTGAAAGCCACAAAAGCCGCGAAAGCGGCCGCGTGACATATCATAAGACACTACCTATCCATTCTCCATAATTACACCATATTTGATGGGGTTCATACAGTAGGCAACAAATCATAGAGGAAAAAATATATATGCATATATACATATTTTCAGATATATATGACAAAGCTCACATCACCCAAACTTTAACAACATGTTAGTGATAGACTCCTATAGACTGTCTTAATGGCTCCTGCCAAAACAGAACAATCTTCACACTGTTTCCTCTAAGAACACTTTTGTAACCATGTTCAGCAGTTCTTCATAACAGAAAATACAAAATGTATTATTTCGGTTGTGTTTTGGGATAGGGTTTTTGGCTTGGGTTGGAAACATCCCGAATTTGGTGGTGGAATTAGTGTTTGAATATTAAATGTAATCAAATATTGTGAACTAAATTATAAAATAAAAAAATGTAAAATTCCCTGTAAAAAAAAAGAAAATGTCTATTGGAATTCTAACCACTCATATTAATAAATAAATTGATTTTTGTTTGGACAAACTTGCAGGCTATCGAATGTAGCCTGCACACAGTGCAGAGTCTGGCAAACTCCCCGTGGCGTACCAAATATGCCAAATACCAGTAACAATGATGGGTCTCATTCTCCTAAATAGCCTTGAATATAATCTCAGGGCTAGGATGAAAGAGACGTTACTGGGGCCTGCTCGAGGCAATCGACGAATAACAGGATGATGAAATGAAATGAAATGAAATTGATTTTTAAATTTAAGCATTGTGATTTACAAATTTCCGGGGCCGAGATCTCCAAGCCTACTCGAATTGGAGTCGAGCATCCTCCACCCAGATCCTCCAAATTCCAGTAGGCGGGGGTCACACCCACCACCTGGCCCCCTGGCGCCGTGTAATCCCATCAGCGGCCAAGACTCAGAGACTACAAAATGCAGCTCCCGGACGAGACCAGTGCAGTCAGTCTCCTGCCCCTGCGCCTGGCTGTTCCTCGCCGGGGTCCCTTGGAGGGGAGCGGGTTGAGCTTTCCTCCCCACCCCGACCAGGGCTCCGGCAGCCGAAGACCTCCAGGACCAGCCACCACCATGCTGAGACCACTCTCCGCACACATGAAGGTACTGGCAGAGGGACAAAGCCACGCGGGTTCCGGGGCCGAGATCTCCAAGCCTACTCGAATTGGAGTCGAGCATCCTCCACCCAGATCCTCCAAATTCCAGTAGGCGGGGGTCACACCCACCACCTGGCCCCCTGGCGCCGTGTAATCCCATCAGCGGCCAAGACTCAGAGACTACAAAATGCAGCTCCCGGACGAGACCAGTGCAGTCAGTCTCCTGCCCCTGCGCCTGGCTGTTCCTCACCGGGGTCCCTTGGAGGGGAGCGGGTTGAGCTTTCCTCCCCACCCCGACCAGGGCTCCGGCAGCCGAAGACCTCCAGGACCAGCCACCACCATGCTGAGACCACTCTCCGCACACATGAAGGTACTGGCAGAGGGACAAAGCCACGCGGGTTCCGGGGCCGAGATCTCCAAGCCTACTCGAATTGGAGTCGAGCATCCTCCACCCAGATCCTCCAAATTCCAGTAGGCGGGGGTCACACCCACCACCTGGCCCCCTAGGCGCCGTGTAATCCCATCAGCGGCCAAGACTCAGAGACTACAAAATGCAGCTCCCGGACGACACCAGTGCAGTCAGTCTCCTGCCCCTGCGCCTGGCTGTTCCTCGCCGGGGTCCCTTGGAGGGGAGCGGGTTGAGCTTTCCTCCCCACCCCGACCAGGGCTCCGGCAGCCGAAGACCTCCAGGACCAGCCACCACCATGCTGAGACCACTCTCCGCACACATGAAGGTACTGGCAGAGGGACAAAGCCACGCGGGTTCCGGGGCCGAGATCTCCAAGCCTACTCGAATTGGAGTCGAGCATCCTCCACCCAGATCCTCCAAATTCCAGTAGGCGGGGGTCACACCCACCACCTGGCCCCCTGGTGCCGTGTAATCCCATCAGCGGCCAAGACTCAGAGACTACAAAATGCAGCTCCCGGACGAGACCAGTGCAGTCAGTCTCCTGCCCCTGCGCCTGGCTGTTCCTCGCCGGGGTCCCTTGGAGGGGAGCGGGTTGAGCTTTCCTCCCCACCCCAACCAGGGCTCCGGCAGCCGAAGACCTCCAGGACCAGCCACCACCATGCTGAGACCACTCTCCGCACACATGAAGGTACTGGCAGAGGGACAAAGCCACGCGGGTTCCGGGGCCGAGATCTCCAAGCCTACTCGAATTGGAGTCGAGCATCCTCCACCCAGATCCTCCAAATTCCAGTAGGCGGGGGTCACACCCACCACCTGGCCCCCTGGTGCCGTGTAATCCCATCAGCGGCCAAGACTCAGAGACTACAAAATGCAGCTCCCGGACGAGACCAGTGCAGTCAGTCTCCTGCCCCTGCGCCTGGCTGTTCCTCGCCGGGGTCCCTTGGAGGGGAGCGGGTTGAGCTTTCCTCCCCACCCCAACCAGGGCTCCGGCAGCCGAAGACCTCCAGGACCAGCCACCACCATGCTGAGACCACTCTCCGCACACATGAAGGTACTGGCAGAGGGACAAAGCCACGCGGGTTCCGGGGCCGAGATCTCCAAGCCTACTCGAATTGGAGTCGAGCATCCTCCACCCAGATCCTCCAAATTCCAGTAGGCGGGGGTCACACCCACCACCTGGCCCCCTGGTGCCGTGTAATCCCATCAGCGGCCAAGACTCAGAGACTACAAAATGCAGCTCCCGGACGAGACCAGTGCAGTCAGTCTCCTGCCCCTGCGCCTGGCTGTTCCTCGCCGGGGTCCCTTGGAGGGGAGCGGGTTGAGCTTTCCTCCCCACCCCAACCAGGGCTCCGGCAGCCGAAGACCTCCAGGACCAGCCACCACCATGCTGAGACCACTCTCCGCACACATGAAGGTACTGGCAGAGGGACAAAGCCACGCGGGTTCCGGGGCCGAGATCTCCAAGCCTACTCGAATTGGAGTCGAGCATCCTCCACCCAGATCCTCCAAATTCCAGTAGGCGGGGGTCACACCCACCACCTGGCCCCCTGGTGCCGTGTAATCCCATCAGCGGCCAAGACTCAGAGACTACAAAATGCAGCTCCCGGAACCGCGCGGCCGCATTCGCGGCCGCGCTACATCTTATCTGAACATCTTTTTATGATATCTCATTATCTCATTCCTACTCTGGACAAACTTGCAGGCTATCGAATATAGCCTGCCCACAGGGCAGAGTCTGGCAAACTCCCCGTGGCGCACCAAATATGCCAAATACCAGTAACAATGATGGGTCTCATTCTCCTAAAAAGCCTTGAATATAATCTCAGGGCTAGGATGAAAGAGACGTTACTGGGGCCTGCTCGAGGCAATCGACGATTAACAGGATGATGAATGAATGAATGAATGATTTACAAATGTATCCATAAAGGCTTTATGCATAAGATCTTCCAACATCAATCTCCCGACAAGTGTTGCCTCCCTCTACCATTGTCCTCAGGTTTTCTTGCACCCCAGCTTGCCTCCTAAAAAATACATTTTAAAGTTTAATTATTGTTATAATAGCACAGCGGTAGGGCGTTTGCCTTGCACGCCGCCAACATGGCCGACGCGAGTTTGATTCCTCCGCCCCTCTCGGAGAGCCCGGCAAGCTACCGAGAGTATCTCGCCCACACGGCAGAGCCTGGCAAACCACCCGTGATGTATTTGATATGCCAAACACAGTAACAACAAAATCTCCAATGGAGACGTTACTGGGCCCGCTCGAGCAAATCGATGAACAACGGGAGGGCCTTTACTTACTTACTTAAAGTTTAATTTAATTAACTCATGCTTACAGTCTTGATGGCTCTGTTGGTTTATATATATATATATATATATATATATATATATATGTATACATATATCACACACCTCCATATAACCTTGTGTCCTAGGACCCTGATCCTTACTCCTTGCTACCTGCTGCTCTCCTCTGATATTTTCATTTATATATTTTAGGGTGAAGGGTTTCCACCTTTGGAATTTAACAAGATAAAACTCTTTAACAGAGTACTCTACCAATATTATTTAGTAACTCCTTTCCCTGTTACAATCCTATGGGGCCTAAAACAAAAACTTACTTGATGGGTCTGTAGCTGGGGCTTTTACAGAAGACCAATAATCCAGCTCCAGAGCCTACCAACAAACCTCCCATCTTCAGGCATTTGATAGCTGATACTCCCTAGAAGAAGAAACATCATTAAATTCAAATGGTTACATTTCAGGTAAAGAATCAGTGCTCATAAGGATGAGGATTTGATTCAGCAGTAGAGTAACTGCATTAGGCTCTGGATTCAGTTACCACCATCACTCCCCTCGAGCCCTCCCCACCCCAAAAGTCGGCATATGACTGACACAATAGGCATGTTAGTATTGTCACATTGAAGCTCCTGGAGGTAAAAATTCTTAAACTCCTATGCTGATCAAAGAGCTCAGTGTCAATCACAATGACCATCAAGGAATAGTACTCCTGATCCTGCAAAAACTAATTTGGAGTCACCAAACTTCTTCCCTTTAAAATCACCTGTGTATTTTGACTGTTAAAAATTAACTCTTTTTTACTGACTCACAACCAGGTAGAATTAGAAGGCATTAACATTGTACCAGAACATTGTGCTTTCCCCCCCTTCTCTTCCTATTATTGTGATTTCCACAGCTCACAAACATTGTTGCTGTGCCATGGATCCCAAAGGCAACACTAGGATTGTATTCAGTGATATCGGTATGCTAAGGATCAATCTTGGACTCTCACATCTGCAAGACTGTGATTTACACCTTTGCTTTGTTTCGTTTTTGATTTTTCGGCAACACCTGCTGTTGCTCAGAACTCACTTCTGGCTCTGCACTCCTGATGCCTAGCCGGGTTAAGGGGACCATATGGGATGCTGAGGATGAAAGCAGTATTAGCTGCGTGTTAGGCAAGCATCTTATTTGCTGAATTATCTCTCCGGTTCCTCTAGCCCCTGGTGATTATATCTTCTCAACCGTAGTACTTAATTTTGTCAATAAAAAATGATTGAAATTCAAAGCCATCTTCCAAGTTTAGGAATAACCATTTTATAGAACTAAAAATAAATTTTTAATTTTAAAATGTCTAAAATTTTTAATTTTTAACAAGATAATGGAGCTTAGGATATGGATCAGAGTAAGAGCAAAGTCTTGCTTATGTGAGATCTAAGGTTTGATACATGATGCCAGAATAAATATGATTATATAGATTTTTATTAAAATTGAATATTGAAGAAAATATATTATGTTCTTTCCAATTATTTAAAATTTTGCCTATTCTGGATCAATACCATTTTATGGTATTGACAACAAAAACTGAGACTTCTCCTTCATTCCACTCTTAACTCCAAAAGTGCCATATCAAGATGATATTAATGCCAGGCCTATAAAAAGAAAATCTATAAACCTGTAATCTCAGTATTTGTTTAGGAATTTTGGAGAACAAGGGATAAAGAGCTCAATGGAGCCTCAAAATCATATAAAAATATCATTAAAAGATTTTTCACATCAAAGATGATATTTTTCAAGCTCACAGATATTCGTATCTCAGTTCTATTAATTGCTAATCATGAGGTTGTAAGTGGCACGTCTCAGTTTTTTTTTATCTACAAAGCAGAGACGAAAATGGCATCTATATCAACATAAATGTGGTGAAGATCAAATAATGTGCTATATAAGGGAAGTGCTTTACTTTGTGGTTAGCACACCAATGTCTACTGACTGTATACAACTTCTAATATTGTCTCTGTCACTGTTCTCCCGTTGTTCATCGATTTGCTCAAGCGGGCCCAGTAATGTCTCCATTGTGACAATTGTTACTGGGTTTGGCATATCAAATACGTCACAGGTAGCTTGCCAGGCTTTGCAGTGTGGGCGAGATACTCTCGGTACCTTGCCGGGCTTCTAATATTATATAGTATTTATCTTTTTTTAATTTTTATCTGTTATATGCTTAATAGGTTCATTCAATATTATTCCAATTATCTTTATAACCATAGAGTGAAACATTTTGGCAAAGTTTCAGAATGGGAAACTGCCAAAGACCACTTGATATTCCAATCAGATGTATTCAATGTTATTGCTTTTCCTTTTATTTAATAATTTTTTTCTTGGGACAGGGAGATGGCTGAAGCACTAAAGTACATTCTTTGCATATAAAAGGCTTGATCTCCATATATCCACATGGTCTCCAAAAATTTTTCTAGAAGGAATTCCCCTACCAACCACTGAGCCAGGAGTAGTCCCCAAGCCCCATTATTTTATTTCCATTCATGTAAAAGGAGTCTTGGAAACAATGCTCTGTGGAAGACATAATCTAAAGGTTTAGGTATTTAAATAGCAATAATATCCTGAAATAGAATTTTTTTGAGTAAATTAATCACATTTTCTGGATAAGCACTTATATTCCAAACTGAATGTCTGATGTGCCAGAGGTCCTCTGGTGTGTTTGTGGCCAATAACCGTCCCCCGTGGCTGATGGATGAAGGAAGGGGTCCACAGACTGGTAACCAGAGGCACTTTATTCAAATCAATCAGCATTATTATAGAGATATCATGAAGGGTTGGGGGGCAGTGTTTACATATAGGTGTGGTTGAACATTAACATAAACAATAAACACATGTAAATCTTCTCCTTCAGAGGAAATTCTTCTAGGAGATCCATCCAAGGATGGAATTCCATCTGGGGCTTCAGTACTCTTGATTTCTTCTAGGAGATCCACGCAGGGGAGGAATTCCATCTAGGGGCATAATGCTTTCTCCTTTTCTTTACTGGTAGCATTGTAGCACTGTCCTCCCACTGTTCATCCATTTGCTCGAGCGGGCCCAGTAACGTCTCTGTTGTGAGACTTGTTGTTACTGTGTTTGGCATATTGAATACGTCACGGGTAGCTTGCCAGGCTTTGCCGTGCAGGCAAGATACTCTTGGTAGCTTGCCGGACTCTCCGAGAGGGGCGGAGGAATTGAATTCAGGTCGGCCAAGTTGACCGCGTGCAAGGCAAACGCCTTACCGCTGTGCTATCGCTCCTTTGCAGCACTGTAGCATTGTCCTTCCGTTGTTCATCAATTTGCTTGAGTGGGCTCCAGTAACGTCTCCATTGTGAAACTTGTTGTTAATGTTTTTGGCATATCGAATATGCCACAAGGAGCTTGCCAGGCTCTGCAGTGCAGGCGGGATACTCTTGGTAGCTTGCCGGGCTCTCTGAGAGGGATGGAGGAATCAAACCCAGGTTGGCTGTGTACAAGGCAAACGCATTATCTACTGTGCTATCACTCCAGCCCATCCACTTAAACAATACATAAATTTATATTTTAATAAAATTTCTTGTCATTTTGTATAAACATAAGAGATAGAGACTTTTACTTATACCCTAGGTTAAGCCTAAAATAGTCTCTCTGAACTGATGCTAAAGGGTCCTTTATCCCCCTTTTCCTGGGGACATCTTTCCCAGACTACAGTCCTCAGGTCAGGTTAGTTTTTTCCAACCTCAATAGGTTCCGTACTCAGTTACTTATTTTTGTGTGATTACAGAGTTTGTTCCATGACCATGATCTTATTGTACTTCTTATGGCCTTTAGGCTGTCCCATGTCAAAGCCAGGATAGCTTATGGTTTGCCCTGGGTCCATCCATGTTCCTTGGCAAGACCCATATTTGGGGTCGTAAGGAACTAAGTTCAATATAGAGGCAATTAAGGTTTAACTCAAGTAAATATGATGACTGCCCAGGAGTAAATATTATTCAGAGTCAATTAACTCCCATATTGCAAAAGTATAGCATTAACTGTTTTCCTGTGTCTTTATTTTTGTAAGGACATTGCTCTAAAATAAAAATACGCAAATGACATCAAGAAAAAGTAATATATATGTATATATATTCACATATAAAAATCCAGAGCCATCAGAAGGTTTGACTTTATAAATTACTGTGTCTGAGTTGGAGATATTTGTTACTGATAGGGAAAGAAGAACACAAAGGAGAGGTTAAAGATAAACACAGAAGATTAGGAGTGCCCCAATGGAATTGGGTGTGCCCCCAGGAGCACTAGAGTGGGTGTAATTCAATTAACCTAAGCTCCCTGTGGGAGGAGAAAGGATAATCCAAAGTCAAGCCTAAAATGCTTGGAACTAAAATCCAACAGCTGAGGAGCAAAAACATCCAGATCAGTAGTTTTCATATAGTGTTTTTGTAGTCCTTTGGAGTTTCTCTTTAGCAGAAGCTGAAAGTCTTGACCTCCTTTAACCCAATTGGCTTTGGTTTTGCCTGCTTCTCTGAAAATTTATTTGAAAATCATTGGTCACTACATTGTATCTTTAATAAATGCAGAATTATTTCTAAACTTTATACTACAGTTTCCCCCCATTCCCATGCAGTTTAACAAAACCCTGGGGCTGTAGCAGTAGTACAGAGTAGGGTACTAGTCTTGCATGCAGCTAGGGAGAGTATGCAGAGCCAGGAGAAAGCCCTGAGTACTGCTGGGTATGGCTCCCAAGCAAAAATATAAATAAATAAACAAAAATTGATTATTAAATAATTATTAAGAAAATGTTAATATCTTAATAATATTTGCAAGCATCTTTAGAGTATCTATTAAGTGGGAAAGTATCTAAGCTTGATTAATATAATTGTTATTTAAAATGCTATGCTCTGCCATGCCACCGGACCTCACACCAGGCTGTTTCAATCGGAGCAACCAGGAGTGGGGTGGGTGAGGCTCCTCCCCACCCCGACAGAGCCAGCTCTGGTAGCCAAAAACCTCCAGAACTCAACTGCCATCATGCTCATGGCTGCTTTCTACATGCTCAGCTCAAGGGTGTGCCTCAGGGGCACTGGTGTCTGAGTAGTTCAACAAACCTTAAGCTCCCTGCACGAGGAAAAGGAAAACCCAATGTTATCCAACACCCAGAGTCCTCCTTGGCAGTAAGGGGTGGGGAACATTGATAGTGTATTGGAAAGAACCACATCCACCCGACCACAGGCACCATGGGGAATCAGCACAGAACCCCACCATGAGGAATGGTTGAACATAGGAGCCCTAAAACATCAACAAAGAATATCTACATGCATAATCTCTCTGATAAAGAATTCAGAAACAAAATGGTGAGGATGTTTAATAAGCTCAAAGAAACAGTATGATGGACATCCAATAAAATACAGGAGGATATGAGAGAAACAG